CCCCACAAGATATCTGATAAATACCACCTTAACCTAGTGGCCAAAGTAAATATCACCGGTAATGAGACATCCAGTACCTCCTGATATGATGTATTGAGAAGGACACCAAGATGCATAACCTCATTGTAATCATGAGCAAACATCAGACAAACTCAGATTAAGAAATATGCTACAGAAGGGCTTCTAGTCAAGAGGGTGGAATAGACAGTCCCCAGCATCATGTTCTCCCACAGTCAACCAATTTACAACTATTAAAAAGCAATGACATCAAGCCGGGGCCGCTAGAGCTCAGGGGAAGAGGAGAAACCTACAGAGTTCATGAAGGCAGGAGAAGCCACAATGAGAGAAAGAAAGGACTGCTCCTACCATTTTGAATCCTGGCTTCAAGGCTGGCCTTTCTGAGCACATGGAATAAGGGCTGGCAAAAGCCACAGGTGTGCTCTTCCTATGAAGTCGCTTGGAGATGGCAAGGGAGAAGAGGGCATTGGTGGCCCTCAGGCCAGCAAGACCACTAACTGGATTCCTGTGGACCCACATAGGAGCAAAGAGCCACAACAACTGAAAAAAGGAGCCACTCAGACACTGCTCATCCTGTGGTGGCTGTGGCAGCTGTAACTGAAGTAATTGCCAACAGTGCCTGCAGTAGACCTACTTACCAGCTCCCACTTGCACTCAGTCAAAAAGAAGAGAGTTTAATACTGGGGTGTAAAGGGTAGAAGGCTTGAATGCAGAGTGTGCCACAAAGCAAAAGTTCTCATCTAACCATCAGCCACACAGATGGAGACCCCCCCACTTATACCTACCAATAAATGTTTTGTTTCTTTCTTGAGCATAACATAATCCAAATGAAAGACTGGAAACCTATCCCATTTCCAAATTGTATATTTACAATCTTTTAGTATATTTACACTCTCAATATCATCTGACCCCTGAATGAGATTGCTGGCAAAAGTTGCCTTCTCATTTAAGGCCCAGCTCAGCATTTCTAAAGAATTATCCAATTGTGTGTAACCTGTTTGTGGCAGGTCAGATTCTTCTTGAAATGCTTGCTGCAATGCTGAGGTTCATCTGAGCCACCCTCACAGTCCTGCTCACAGTCACACCCCCAGGAGCGGGGAGCACACACCCCACTGCTCCACACTGGAAATAGCCTGTCTGGCAGGAATGGGGAGCTACGGCAGCCAAAATAGAACTCATTGTGCAAGTGTCTGTCCCATTTTACCATCAAGCAGTTCTTACGTCAAAAAAATTATGTCAGCTCCAGCTCAATATATTTGAAGGCAGATAGTGAACAACCCTTATACTAGAGCCTGTGGACTGTAATCAGAGCTCACAGTCAAATAATCTCAGCAATGGCATTACCAGATACTGATGATCCCAAGCAGTTTGAATAATACAAACAGCCAAACACACATACACACACATTTATGACAAAAATATTAAATTAAAATTTTAATTTAAGTATAAATTTTTTTTAAAAAAGAAATATGCTACAAAATAACTGGCCAAGGATCATGGGACAAAAATGGAAAACTATTGAACTGTCTCAGGACAGAGGAGACTAAGAAGACATGACAACTAAATGCAGTGTGGGATCCTGCATTGCATCCTGGACTAGAAAAGGACATTGGTGAAATTTGAGTAAGGTCTATAGATTAGTTAATATTTATTAACTAACATTATATCAATGTTAGTTTCCTGATTTTGATAATTTTACTATGGTTACACAAAATGTTGTCATTGGGTGATGGATATACAGAAACTCCATATATTATAACTTTTTTGAAAGGCTGAAATTTTTTTTAAATAAAAAGTTCTTTTAATTATACATTTTGCATTCAACCCACATCTATCTTCTCAGTTCCAAACTCATGTCCACTTTGATGTCTCACAACATTGCAAACTTAACACATTTAAAACTGAGCATTCTCATGTCTAGCTCCTCCCCACAGTCTTAGCAAATGTTTAATGTCATTCAATGTATTTTTCATGTCAGATCTTGTGTTTTCAATCTCTAACTTTCAGTTTCTACAGAAGATGTGAAATATAGTTATAATAACTTTTTTTAATGCTCTGTGTCATTTCTGGTTCTGTTTCTATTGATTTTTCTTTTCATTATGGGTCATATTTTCTTGGTCCTTTGCATTCCTGATTATTTTCTGTTCGATACCAGACATCATGAAGTTGCTAGGTATTTTTGTATTTTATACTTCAGCTTTATTCAGTACTCAGTTAAGTTACTTGGATCCTTTTTGGTTTGCTTTTAAGCTTTGTAAGATAGAATGAGAGCAACCTTTACTCTAGAGTTTATATTTTCCTGCTACTGAGGCAGATTTTCTGTTTTGGTGGGTGGGACCTCTTGCTAGTCACATGTGTTCCCTCTGCTATTTTCCAACTTTCCTTTCCCCAGCCTCAGGTAGTTTCCTCATGTACATTCCTTATCAGCACTCAGCTGAGAACTCAGTGGGGATTCCTGTAGCTCCCTGTAAGTTTCTCTTTCCCTCTGCAGCTTTCTTCCCCTCAGTACTCTGATCTGGGAACTCTAGCCACTTTGACTCCCCCACTGACAGCTTTGTCTCCTCTTCTCAAGGAGATCATCTAGCCGTAAGGTGGGGCAATTGTAGGGCTTGCTTTGTTTATTCCTCTCTTGGGTATCACTGTCACATGCTGCTGATTTTGTCCACTTTTTTAGTTGTTTTGGGTGGAGAACAAATCCAGTCCCTGTTACTCCATCCTGGCTGGACATAGAAGATAACATTTGTCTTTTAATTAAAAAAAAAAAATCCAAGGAAAATATTCAGATCAGTCTGTATTATAAACAAGTTTATACTAAATTTATCTTCCTTTATAAGTTCTAGATAATGTATTAATGTAAATGCTTTATATGTCACATATAAACAAATATAAGATAACTCAGCTTACTAAGGCTATTTTGAACATTTGTTTTCTGCTTGTCCATAGTTTATGATATGAAGTTGTTTTATTTACACATTATGAGAACAGTGGTCTCCTAGGTAATTAAGAAAATAATATTTCGGGGCCGGCCTGGTGGCGCACTGCTACAGTGCGCCGCTTGGGAGTGTGGCGGGGCTCCCGCCGAGGGTTCGGATCCCACATACAGACCAGCTGCTTACTGGCTGAGCGAGGTGCGGGCACAACACCGAGGGTTGCAATCCCGTTGCCGGTCCGGTCCGGAACGGGCGCGACACTGAGGGTTGCGATCCGTTGCCGGTCACGAAAAAAGACAAAAAGGGAAAAAAAAAGAAAAAGAAAATAATATTTCAAAATATATGTAGCTAATAAAATAACCTGTATTTAATAATATTACTTAAGTATGGCAGAAAACCCAATTTTTAACTGTCTTATATTTGAAAATTAAGATTACTTCTGATGATTTTTTTAGGTCCATACTTTTAGTTTATAGTCCTCATTGTTTTGGTTTGTGGATATTCTTATGGAAGTCTTTATATACTATACTGCATTTTTCTCAATTTTTCTCATAAGATTATAGTAAATTGGATTCCTATAATTAAGGTTTCTCATAATTAGTGTTTTTATGAGAAATTTCATATCACAAGGAGAGTAATACAATATTTTTAAGCACAGTGGGAATGTAGGAGGGTGCTTGACTTTAGGAACAATTAAGAAAGCAGAAGTTGAGTCTTGGCCCACTTCTTAGAAGTTGTGTTATACCTCTTTGAGCCTTACTTTGTTACTTTCTCAAATAACCTCCTTGAGCCTTACTTTGTTCTTTAAAATGGTGTGATAATACTCTCCTCAAAGACAGTTGTGAGGATTAGGTGCATTTTGTGAAAATGCGTAGTAAACTGCAAATGCTGTATAGAAATCAAGTATCGTTTTGAGGTTTAGCCTGAGAAGTGTAAGTTTCCAATAGAATGTACTGTGGGAAAATTTGACTGTACCTGAGCCCAACATTGAAAACCAGAATTATTATCTAGGCCTGTGCTTTCTTTGGTTAGTTTCAGAAATTTTTTAAGTTTGATTTTTGATGCCCAGTTTAATAGAAATGATTATCATTTCTCTCTTTACTCAGCAACACACCATTTGCACTTCACCCACATATGGGGCTTGCCAGTTAGCTCAGTTGGTTAGAGTGTGGCGTTATAACAAGGTCAAGGGTTCAGATCCCCTTACCTGCCATCCACCAAAAAAAAAAAAGATTGGTGATCTGTGTTTTATGAAGAAAAATAAGGATGTTGTTCAACAGCTTATCTTTCAACAAAGAATACTTTTCAGGAACACTCATGGGTTTCTCTTAGACATTAAGAAATGCAGACCGTTAGACATTAAACTAAATTCATGAACTTGAGAAATTTTGAGAAAAATATGTTTGGTGAGAATATTTGAGGAACAAATCATTAAATCAGATTCTGTGTTCTCTGTAAATACCAATGACTGTAATCCATGGAGTGGATTAGATGACTTTGGTTTTTCTGGTCTAAAACATTTTCTACAGAATCATGCAGGCACTGTTACTAAGAATCAGAATAGAAGCCTTCAGAATTAAGTGAGGCTTGCCCTATATTTATGAATCAGGTTTTAAGTGGAAACCACAGTTGTTTCCTTGTCATTCATGCTTAACAGAGGATATGATGCCATAGAGCCCACTTGGTTTGTAGTTTCTCATTGAAGGTTTGCACGTCTTTCTTTTCCTTTTTAGAAGCCATAGCAGTTTTGATGTATTATCAAACCACAAAATGTACCTTGTTGGGTATTTAGCAAGAGGAAATGTGTTAAGTACTATTTGGTAGTTGCAGTACTGCTTGTGACTTTCCTGTTCAGTCCTATTTCGAAAATATAGCATAAATAAATAAATGCATACATACATATTTTGAGGGTAGGTGGTATATAGGCATACAACTACAGGCACGTGGAAGACAATTTTGAACCCTTTGAATATATTACTTTGTATTTAAAGATAATATTTCTTATTGTTTAACCTGAATCTAATATGTTAAATCTCTTTTTTTCTGCCTTAGCATCAAAGCATGCCATGGGTTGCCTCTCGTAAATGGACAAAGCTGTGACCCTTATGCAACAGTTTCTCTAGTAGGCCCTTCTAGGTAATGTTTATTGAATTATTGTTAGGTTATTAAAGTTTTAAAGTTTGATTTAAGAATTAGAAAATTAAGGTTCTAAGAGCAAATGCTAAATAGGTGTTTATAACACCAAGTAATCAATGCTTTAAAAGAAAAATACTCCATGAGTTCTATTATACACTTGTAAACAACCAAGTTCTGTTTTTACAGAGGGAAAATGGGTGCCATTTCAAATCTTCCAGACTCTTAGGCTATGGGGAACAACCTCAGTTTTATACTGTTAAATTGTACTTTAAAACATAAACTTGACCTTTATTCTTCAACATTCCTACTTTCAAATGTCCTAAGTTTTATGCAGGTAAAATCTGTTTGAATAAATGCCAGCTTAGATAACCATATTCCATATGGAATAAAAATATTCCATATTTTTATCTGGAAAGCAGCTCAGGACTGGAAATTGCCTTTTTGCCTCATGAAATCTGTTTTCAACAGAGAGAATTTTAAGCTATAGAGAAACTACTGAAGTACTAGAGAGAACATGATATGAAGTACATCATATCATTAAATGATTTATGATAAATATTTTGTTATATAACTTCATTATAGTTTCTTTAAGGGACTGACTAGTCTGAAATTTGTCTACAACTTGAAGGTTTAGAATCAAGAAACAAAAAGGACAATATTCACTCTACACACACGCACACATACATACAGAGAGAGAGAGACACATACGCCTCTTCTTCCCAACCCCAAGATCTCTAGTTACTCTAATTTTTTAGTAAATCACTAATAAGTCATTTTGGAAAATGTATTTATATATTTATATAAAGTACCTAGTGCTGTGCCGGGTATTTATTGAGTGCTCAAACAATTATTATAGATGTTTTTAAATTTAAAAGCAAATACTCAATCCTATAACATTAAATGCTGTCAGAAGGGTTTAGTTTTACATGTTAAAAATGTTCAACCTAGCGGAGCTGTTTTTGTTCTTTGTTTTTTTAATAATATATACCTAACAGACAAATTTTTTAGTGTAATTGTTTAGTAACATAGTTAGGAACTGTTCGTCATATGAATTTGTGTTTTAAAAAGTCACTGTTGGTTTTGCTATTGTACCATAGTTGTGTAAGGTGTTAACATTAGGGGAGGCTGGGTAAAGGCACAGGACTTCCCCCTACATTTCTCTGTAACCTCGAATCTATAATCATTTCAAAAACAATAGGTTTTTTTAAAAAAGTAGTTATTGTAGCTGAAACCCAAAAAGTAAGCTGAGTTAAGAATGCATTCTGTGTTTCTCGGGTATTTCTCAACATAGATAAAGGTACTCTAAATCTCATTGTCTCCTTCTCACCATGTATTGAGTTGCTTATATAATAGAACGTGTTTTAAAAACCCCTGAAGACAGCTTGGCAGTCAATCTAGTATAGCCATAAAGATAATAATGCAATCTTGGCATATATAAGATATACAAAGCTTATGTATTCTTTGATTTAAGTTTGTAGGGACATCTCAAATTTTTCCCCCCAAGTAAATTTAAAAATACAGTCTTCCCTGAGTCATCTTAACATTTAAACAGAGGTCAGGCTCCCTGGTTGGAATAGCATGTTTTATAATTGTGTGCTATTAAGTTCTACAAGGTAAAACTCTACCACATTGGAACAGGAATGACCAAAAGAAGACAAAAGTAAAGAAGAAAACAAGCAATCCACAGTTTAATGAAATCTTTTATTTTGAGGTAATTTTTTGTTTTATATAAATGTTAAGATTGAATATTTAATATTAAATGCTAGCTTATTTTTTTTCAAACCATGGCCATGGTAATTATTTTATCAAAAAGGCAGCTAAGCATTTCTCTCCTGAAAGTAGTAGAATCGTGGTGTAATACAATGGAGGACCAATATATTAAAACAAACAAAGGCCGAGTTCTGATTGATTTGGGAGTTGGGGGGGGTTAGGCCAAACCCACTCCCCAGTCATCCTCACTATCACGTCCTCCTCCACACCCTCCCCCATCCCCTCCAGCCCACCACCTGACACAGTGGCCATGGAACTTTTCTGCAGAGTCCCTCTTTAGAATCACTAGTGAAGTAAGTGTGATTATCCCTTGGTAGATCTGAGTTCTGGTCCCAGTTGACTTTGAACAAGTCACAAAATGTGAGACTCAAGTTTCTTATCTTGTTAAAGGATAATATTGTACAGAAAAGCAATAGCCGCCCTACCTAACTCATAGCGTTTTTGTAAGGCCCTAAGCATGTGAGAATCTCTTGAGACTATAAAATACTATATGATTAGAGGCTTATTAAGTTCATTTTATTCTAATTCACTCTATGGACACATGATTGTTTTCATAGAGATTTTCAGTTGCCTTGAAGTTGTTTCAAATACAATGCTTTAGAGTTCTTTACTTTGGAGCATTTGTTTTAAAAAAAATCCTTTTTCATATTATTTGCAAACTACAAGAAAAAAACTCTCTAAAAGATTGTGTTCTAGTAGTGGAATATGTTGCAGTTGATATTAGCATGTTGGGAAGGTTTGTAAAAAAGAGTTACATTCTGTGCTTTTTCTTTTGTGTGTCTGCTTTTCTTGGTATTTCAAAGTGGAGACAGTGACATTACCTATAGTCATGCACTTTAATAAAGGAACACAGGCTGAAGAAAATGTCAAAAATGAAGTAGGAATAGTTGTGAGGGTGGAAGCAAGGGATAAAGAAAACAAAAGAAAATGTACCAGTGGGAAACTTTTCCACTCCCTGACTAAGGACTTGGTGCAGTTATTCTACATTTATTAATGTCTGTTACCTCTAACCTGGAGAAAACAAAGAAGACAGCAGTTTTAAGGGCTTGTGTCTAAAGGAACTCACACTCCCCATTAGTTCCACATTACCTTAAACCTCAGATGGGGTGGAATCTAGAATGCCTCAGGGGTCCATAAAATAGTCAAGGCCTGACCTGCCTGCTATACCAAGTGTACCTGCTAGGCCTTGAAACATTCATTCACAGGGTCCTGTATTGAGTTGATTATAAAGATAGATAAGGTTCGGTGTCTACCCTCTAGCTAGAGCAAGAGACACAAAGCACACACATGCATCCACAGCAGTAAAACACAGTAGATACTGGGGAGGTCAAATGAGCTCTGCTCCAGTTGAGGTGGTCAGGAAAGGCTTAAAGAAAGCCTGGATTTTCTTAAGTGAGAGGGAATAGAGTATTAGAGAGAAGAAACATTTTGAGCAGAGGCACAGAGACAAAAGCAGAAAGTCATATCCAAAGAACAGTGAGTAGTGACTCAACTGGGTTTATGTAAGGAAATGAAGGGAACTAAGATTAGAAAGATGGAGTAGGGCCAGCTAATGAAAGGCCTTGAGAATTTGGCGGGGTGCTTAAATTTAAGCCATTGAATGTTCTTGAGCCTGGAAGTGATAAGACTAAAGTAGTGTTTTGGAAAGAATTAACCGTGATCTGTGGGCCAGGTGGCTTAGGGAGAGAAAACAAAGATCAAGAGACTGCTGCAGTGTAGGTGTAAAAAATGAAAGGGACTGGCCAGTTAGCTCAGCTGGTTAGAGCATGGTGCTGATAACACCAAGGTCCAGGGTTCGATCCCTGTACCAACCAGTCACCAAAAAATAAAGGGGGGAGGGGGTCTGTTTTAAGAAAGTAGTAGAGAAGAAGGGACAGATGAGAAAGATACTGCAAAGAGCAAGATAAATTGAATATAGAAGAAAAGAGAAAGGGAGGGGTCAAGTTTTGCCCCCATGGTTTCAAATCTGGAAAAATAGGAGAGTTGGGAGTAAGGAAAAGGCAAGTGGTTTGAGGTGGGGCAATAATGAGCTTGAGGTCTGACATCTAAAACCCTCCAGTAGGCAGTTCACTTCTGAAACTTGAAGATGGGTGATGGTTATAGATCAAGATTCAAGATTTATTTACAGAGTCAAGAAAGCCGAGGGAGTAAAGGTATACAATAAAGGAAAAGAGGGAAGAAGCTCAGTGCTGCCACTTGTTGAGTACTCACCTTTGAACATGTCACTTCATTTCTATACTTAAGCTTCCTCATTTTTAAGGTGAGGATGGTAAATCTAGCCCTGCCCATGTTAGAGCAGCATTCTCAGGAACAAAGGAGATCATGGGTGTAAAGTACTTTGTAAACTGTACAGCAGTGTGTAGCTCCAAGTTGTTTTTAGAGCAAAATAAAAGATAAAACCTTGGAGAGTACTCATTTGTAGATCCTGAGGAAGAAACAAAGAGAGCAGAAGGTTGCCACGATAGTGCCTAGGTTAAACTCAAAGAAAAGAATGTTTTGGGAAAAGGAGATGTAGTTGTATGACCACTAGATCAGATAGAGAGGTCAAGGAAGGTGTGAACTGACTTGATCATCAGATCTGGTAATGATGAGAGAGATTGTAGGAGGGATGATCTGTGAGGAAGCCAGATTATAAGGAGATAATACTGTAGTGAGTGGGTGGTGAGGAAGTGCAGACTGTAAGGATGGATTACAGTTTTAAGATATTTGTCTGAAAAAAGAAAGAGAAAGGAAGACCATAATTTAACGGGAGAATTTTTCTTAGACTTGAATGAGGTGAACAAGCTGGTAAAGAAAGGTGTAATTAAAACAGATTGAATTCTTACTGCATGCTTACTGCATACTGTGTGGGGTAGACTTAGAAAAGGAGGATCATCTCATCCTCTTGTTGAGAAGAGGATGAGAAAAACCCATCAAGTAGAGAGGCCTGTGTGGGAGAGGACATGTTCAGGTGGACAGTAGTTGAGAAAGTTCTTGCCATTGGCCTTAATATTTTCAGCAAAAATGTGGGGAGGAAGTGTGGGTATGATTGATATCTTGAGAAATGTTGGGAAAATCTTCGAACAGTTCTCAGCAAGTGCAACTTCATTGAAATAGAACACTTTTACTATTTGAGTTACCAACAGACTACCTTTGAACCAGAGAACCTAATGTTGCTGTATATTGAGTTGATAGGGATGGCATGGAGGCAAGGATTCTTTTGATTTGATTTTTTTTTTTTTTAACACCACCTTATTACCTTCCTGCTACTTTCAGTTGTTTTTATGTTCAACTTTTGGGTAAGGTATTACCTAGGCATTTTCCTCTGTTTATATCTACAATTGAATATTTGGGGGATGATCATTTATAAGTCTATGTAGGAAAAAATTATTTTAAAAAAATTTTTTATTAAAATATTTTGTTTACAGGTAACCAGATCCAGTAGTTACACCAGAAAGTCCCAGTTCCAGGTAGAAGAGGAGGACATTGAAAAGCTAGAAATTAGGTATTTTACAGAATTGCTTTTTTCTGTGCCAAATGAATATCCTAAATTTAACTGAAAAGGTGAACCAACCTTGACAGAATTCTCTATAGCAAGTTGGTTGATGAAACTTAGAGGAACATGCATTTAATTTAAATTCAAAGTATCCTTTTGAAATCTGATTTCTTTGTAGAAATAGACAAGGTATCTTTATTTTATAAACAAAAATGACCTCTAATTTTCACCTATCCTATTATATTAATTTTTAATTTTTTCCAAATTTAATTTCTCCTTAAATTTCTGGATCATAGAATAATGGATGAAAAAGCAGTTGCACCTCAGCCAATTTAGAAATAATTTTTTTGTTCTTCTTAACATATCTGCTGTCTAACAGAAATTTCAGTGAGGTAAGAAGATAATTCAACAGGTGCATGTGTTTGAAGTTTGTGCTGTTTCCTAGGTCTTAAATATCTATGCTGTTTGGGAAGGGAAAGTTTTATAAATGCATGTGTAGGTGTGGTGTTAACAGTCTGTTCATCTAAAGGGTATATTAATTATGTGTTTGAAGTGATCATGTAATGCATTTTTCTAAATCACCCATCTTTACTTATTGATTGGTTATAATGGAGACAGAAACTGTAGTCTTGTGCCAGTTTCATTTCTCAAATTCAAAAAAGTAACTCTGTGGTCGTTATTGCTATAGGTTAAAATAAAGCCTAGCCTTTCAAACTAAGAAACTTAAGTGCCTTCTTTTAGACTATTTAAATGTGTTACTTTGTGCACTTTTAAATAAAAGTTACTGTAGTATTTTGCTTTCCTAGTCTGGATAGTGAGATATATGACAATGCTAACATCTTTTTCTTTTAAGCATGTAAAATTAATGCTGTAATACAGATCAAAGTAATTTGAAGCTATTTGGTAGTATGCATTCTTTCAAACATTTTTTGCAGAACATCATTTGCAAAAAATAAAGCCAGGTTTCCGTTTTCAGGATCGACTTGTGGAACAATGGTAACCTGGTCCAAGATGTTTTCCTAGGTGAGATTAAGGTTCCTGTGAACGTGTTAAGAAATGATTCCTCTCATCAAGCCTGGTAAGAAGACAAACATTCTAATAAATGCCATAGTTTAGTACTCTTTAATACAGTGTATATGCAAATAAATGCTTATTATGAACATATTTTAAGTTTGTCAGGGAGGAAGCCAAAAGTCATTAGCATTAATTGATTTGTTCATTAATTCATTGTTGCAGAAATATAAGTATATTGATAGTTTTATGACTTGATCTGTGTTACTAAAATAAAAGAATTTGGGCTGGCCCAATAGCTCAGTTGGTTAGTGTACAACAACAACAAAAGAACTGAATTGTCTAGGAACAATTTTTCTCTTCAAAGCACTATCTTAACTCTAAAGAGGACACGGAAAACATTTAAAACATTACTTAGGAGTTGCCCATGTGATAATATGCTTGGTCACAAGTCAACATCTGCAATTCAGAAGCATTATTAATGGTCACGGGAACTGTGGTAGATGTTTGAAAGCAAAGGGTTTATTCAGGGGACTCAGTTATTTATGGGAACCAACCAGTGATTTTCCTTCACCACACCCCATTGAAATGTACTGTGGATGGCCCCCCTTTTTTTTTTTTGAATGTCTAGGGTCTCATTGTCAAGCTGATTCAGTTAATACTCTTTTCAGGAGCTTTGGGGGCTCAGTAATGACTACAATACTATTTCACCTTTTTATGACTCTAATGGTGACATTAAACTGATGTTAAATTAAACCTAAAGTTTAGACATTAAATTGATGCATTTCCCTGGCAGAATAGTTGTAAAACTATTAATTTTTCTGTCTATTGCACTTAAAAGCATGTGTGTCCTGCGCTTCCAGTATGTTGGCCAGCCTTCCTTATGCCAGACTAGGGTTTCAACTGAGTATAAATGAACGTGCCTTTTAAGGACCACTTTTTTTTTTTTTTTTTTTTTTAAAAGATGACCGGTAAGGGGATCTTAACCCTTGACTTGGTGTTGTCAGCACCACGCCCAGCCAGTGAGCGAACCGGCCATCCCTATATGGGATCCGAACCCGGGGCCTTGGTGTTATCAGCACCGCACTCTACCGAGTGAGCCACGGGCCGGCCCTAAGGACCACTTTTTAGAACTCAAGTTCTGCTGCCTGCAAGACTAGTTGAAACTGAGTGTGCAGATACTTCTTATGGGGACTGGTCTTATTTGTCCTTAAAAGAGCCTGCCTCTCCTGATCAGTCATCAGACTTTCTTCATTTTGGACTATGTTGACTTCAAGCAGTGATCCCTGGTAGACTGACTTTCAGAGTCTTAAAATTTTTATTTTATTTTTATCTCTCCCTAATGCATATCTAAAATTTATTGTTCTTTATGATGGCATTTTGTATGTTGACAATTAAACTTAGTCACTATGAATGAAGACAATTAAACTTAGTCACTATGAAAAATTGGTGAACATTTGGGACCTGTCATCCTCCCCCACACCATGTCTTCTTCCATCTTCCATAAAATAGCATACATTTTAAAATGGAAATTTCTGAACTCAGTTTGTCACGTCTTTAAAATTATATGCCAGGTTACTCAGTACAAAAGAGAAAAATAAGTTGTTGTGCCTCCTAGGGCCCTTCAAAATGAACTTGAAATGTGCCACATAGCATGTATTTTAAATGCGATTATTTCCAGGCATACCTTAAATTTGGCAAAACTTTGTCCAACTATCTTGGCAAGATGTGAGAACATTAACAGACAAAAATCAATTTTATTCTTATAGATCTTTTTTACCAATAGTATAAATATTTTAAAGTAATCTGCCAAAAGTATAAGTGCTAAAATTTATACATTTGCTATAATATCTAGTGAAATAGAAATATCTGCTAAATCATTTACAGTTCCACAGATGTAAGGAATTATGTGGATGTCATTTCCTTTTAAGTCAGAAATAAAACTTAGTCTCCTTAATGAGTTGTAGAGCTGTATCATCCCCTTGTGGGGTGGATGATAATTGCATGAAAACTTAAGAATAGCTTTATTTACCATCAGGATTTCAGACACATTCTTTATAATCTCGATATTTGGGATAAGTTAGAATAATCATCAGTATTGTAATTCTGTTTGAAAAGTCTTTGTTCACTTTCCTCTTTCACATAATTTTCAGTATTTGTCTATTACACTTTTCTCCTAAAAATTGATTTTTGATGGTTCCAATTTAATTTTTTTCTCAACTTAACATGATGATTCAGTCACCCTCCCATTCTTTTTTGGCTATTCAGTTCCTTAAGTAATGATACAGATGCTTGATTCTGATGCTTTTGTCAAATGTTAGGATTACTTTGTTAGTGTTGGTATTGTCTAGTTTTTACTTTAACCTATGTAGATAATAGAATTTTATTTGATTTTTTGAATAGGTAATATACTCACATAGTTTACAGGTCAAAAGATAAAAAATCTGTCTCCTGCCCCTGTCCCCCAGCTACTCAGTTTCCTTCTTCTGAGGCAGCCACTGTTTTTGAGTTTCTGAAAATATTTTATGTGTATACAGGCAAATACATATATATTTTTTCTCTTTTTATGCACAAATGGACACTTACTGTATCTTGTTCTGCACCTTGTTTTTTTTTTGTTTTTTTTTTTTTTTCATTTAACAATATAGTAGAACTTCAATAAATATTTATTGATTCTTGAAAGTGATTAAGAGTATGGACTCACGAGCCAAACTGCCTTGGTTCAAATCTCATCTCTACCATTAGGAATCTTGTTTAATCTTGTACTTTGTGACTTTGGGCAAGATAAACACAATCTGTTTGCCTATGCTTTCTTTGGCTATAAGATGAGGATAATACTGTAGTATCTAACCACTAAAGTTGTTAAGAGATTGAAATTAGCTAATATAAAGTAAACCACAAGTACAAGTAAACACAAGTATGTTAGTGGGTATAATTCATGCTATCCTTGTTATAGTTATTGCTGCTATCATCACCATTATTCCACATCAATACATGGAGAATTTCTTCATCTTTTTTTTGGCATAGTATTCCATTGTTTGGAATGTTATAAATAAAGAGAACCTTAGTGATAATTTAGTTCAATCTCATCTCAGTGTCAGAGAACTTAATATGTGCAAAACCTTTGTGTAATTTTACAGATTGGTACAATAATTTCCTCCCAATGATCCACAATGTAAAAATGGACATTAAGAAAAGAAAATAGATACAAACATTGTTTCATGATATAATTTTTAATTTGGAAAATAAGATTCAAATAGTAGATAAAGTTAATAAGCACTTTATACATAATTTAAAACTAAATTAATATTTTACTTGAGATGATTTGATTTTTTAGTTTGCTAATTTTAGCATCTTTTGTCCTCAAGAATTTTCTCTTTTTTGTCTCATTTTTTTTTTAAAGATGACCAGTAAGGGGATCTTAACTCTTGACTTGGTGTTGTCAGCACCACACTCACCCAGTGAGCTAACTGGCCATCCCTATATAGGGATCTGAACCTGTGGCCTTGGTGTTATCAGCACCACACTCTCCCAAGTGAGCCACAGGCCAGCCCTTGTCTCATGTTTTTAACATATCTTTTTACTATTTGAATTTAGAAAATTAACAAGTATCCTATCTTTAATAAAAATCTACTGATAATAGTTATCTTTATGGAACCAGAAGCGACATTCACATATTTACTAGAATTGCCTCAGAACAGTTGTTCTCCAGCTTAGGGTAGCATTATGTACTAATAATTGTGGTTTTGGTCTGTCTACCTCAATTTTAATTATACAGACCTATGGTTAACATTTTTTAAATGCTGGTCTTTTTTTTTCTGTTAAGGGGCTGTGAAAACTGTTAACTCGAGAGCATGATTGCTTTTATGCCTCTCTAATTGTGAATGAAAAGAAAAATATGTGCAGAGCAACTGAATGCCACTTTCAGTTAATAATTTCTCTTTATATCTTTGTTTTTTATTCTTTCAAACTGAAATAGATCATTCAAAAACTAAAGAAAATATATGTTACTGTCCCCCCAGTAATTTGGAGGTCAGAGAAATAAAGTTGCCATCTGAGTAAAATTCCTATAGAACAAATCAAAACAGAGTTTGTTTTTGACTGTAGAGTTGGAGTAGAGTGTAAAGATACTGTTTAAGGTGAATGGGTACAGACCCAGAGAGGTAGAGCCGATTATAACTGAGTAAGCAGTAATGCAAGTAATGTTATTCTACCGTGTATGAAAAACACTAGTTAAAATAGAAGGGAAAGATTCATTGACAGTAATAAAAAAGGATCCCAAAGAGGTAGACATGGGCACTGCCCATTCAAGCACAATCAAGCGGAAAGGGGATTCTGGTCCAGAAGCATTACTACTTCATTAGCAAGACTACTGTATTAGCTGAGAGACTCTTAAAACTACTTAAATCTCCTTGTGTGTCTCTGTACTCACCACAGCATCTTCTGATAATTTAACTTTCCAAATAGCTTACCAACAGGTAAAAAATATATATTTTGTTCAAAGTAAGGGATATTGATGAAAACACTACAGTAAGTGGTGATAATTGTTGGAACCAAGTGATGAGTGCATGGGGGCGGTGCTGAGGGTGTTCATTATTACTATTATCACTCTTCTACTTTTGTGAATGAACATTTCCATAATAAAATGTATTGGTTGCTAAAAAATGTGAGTATCTATGCCACTTGACTGTATTTCTTTTTATAAACTTAGTAATTGACATTCTGCTTTAAGTATATCAGGCTCAGCGTTCAGTCATTGCAATTCAAGTTCACTTTTAGATGCACTGATAAAACTAGGTGTCTGAATTTGCAAGGCTGCAGAACATATCCTGGATTGTGAGAAATTGACCAAAGTAATGCCTTTGTCAGGATGCCTGGTGATCAGCCAGCTAGACTTCCGTTAGAGATACTTCTGAGTCACCTTTGCTAACAGGCTTGTTTCCAGTTATTTCATTGGTCATACTTTAAATCACTGTTTCTCAAATCAGAAAGTAGACGTTCTGAATGTTGGTCTTCCAAGACAGGAATTTCTCTTTTGAGGTGGTAGTGACATAATTTCTGTATAATATCTTCTCACTGTATTACTGTCCCTTCATCTTTTAAATTTTGCTTAGTACTCTTTTCAGTTTTTACCATATCTTTATCAAAGCTAATATTATATTAAACACTCTTTCCTTCAATTTTTAAACAAGTTAGTCTATTAGGGGATGCCATAGCTGGTAAATATAAAAATTAAGTATCAAAACTACTGAGTTTGCTTTATAAAAAGCATTCCAGCTAATAAGTGAAGGAGGAATGATATATAAAATTATTACTTTGTTGATTAACAGCTGTAAGCAATGATCATCAATGGCTGCCAATATCACAAAAAGAGAAGCAATCACAAAAGGAGAAACAATTAGTACCTCTTGGTGGAACTGCAGAACACCATCATTGAAATGTTCTTGCTAGAATATCATATCTGAATCTAACTAAGCCTCTAGATCTAACTACCCATATGCACAAAATACAGAGAGGACAAAGGAACATGATAAATGACATCATGGAGGTAGAGACAGAGTTAACACAATCCCAGATGCGGAAAACTACAGCATGTAGTACCTGATTTCTGGGCAAGGGATTGGAGGGCAGAGAAATCTATCAATTAAAAGAGACTTAAGAAAGTTTCACCCACTTATAATCTATGGACCTTATTTGGATTTGAACAAACTGTAGAAAACCATTTATGATAAGTTTGGAAGAATTTGAATACTAACTAGATAATAATGATTATTTAAAAGTAATATGTGAAATTATAAGATACCTGGAAATTGTTTTAAAATAATAATGCAGGAGTGAGATAGGAGAATGAGTGAATGTATGGCTAATAAAAGATTAGTCTTTAGTTGATAATTGCTGAAGCTAGGTGATGGGTAATAGGTGTTTGATATACTCATCTCTTTACTTTTCTATGTATTTTTAAATTTCCATGATAAAAAGTGTGGTTTTTTTTTTTTAATGGTTAGATTTCTGGTTGTGGTTCTACAGACTTCTCTTAATTTCTAAACATTTTTTTCCTTGGATATTTAAAGTTGCCTCTATACAAGAGTACTTTGAAAAGTTTGTGGAAAATGGAATTGAAAGATAATACAATATTTCCATGAAATTCTTGAAGTACCCTTGTATACATTTTTTGCCTTTTACTTACCTGAAAAAATTAATATAAATCTGATTTTTGCAAACAAAAACATTTTCATTATAATGACACTGATACTCCTTTAATAGTATAATAAATCTGTTTATAAACCTTTAATCACTAACTTTTTATAAAATAAGTTCAAATTTTTACATATAGAATTTACTTTAAAATAAGGTCATTTATGCCTTTTAGTATGTCTTATCTATTTCAACTAAGTGCTTCTTTCTTAAATTTAGTTGGTAAAAATTAATTTTTATTAATACAATGAATTTTAAATAAGTTTTATCTTTTATTATTTTTTCTAAATCTTCAAGCTGATCAAATTCATATTTAGCCCCTTTGAGATCTTAATTTTTATATTTTCTTAGATAAAAATCTATTTACAGCTTTTTAGTCCAGTATATAACCAATATTAAGCCTCTGAAGATTAGTAGCCTGCTACTAATGAAGTGTCCTAACCTTATATATACTAAGTTGACTTTTTTGGTTTAGCTTTTTTATAGCTTAGCTGTTTACGTACTTCACTGGCTTGGATGCTCATTGACATTGTATGAAATTGATTGTATTTTTACTATAGGTATTTGCTACAACCAAGAGATAATGGAAACAAGTCATCCAAAACTGATGACCTGGGGTCTCTTCGATTAAATATATGTTATACAGAAGACTACGTCCTTCCTTCAGAGTACTATGGTCCTTTGAAAACATTGCTGCTAAAATCACCAGATGTTCAGGTACTTTAAAAATGTTAAGTATATGATTTAATATGAAAGGGCTAAAATAATTCCTTAATAATGAGGAAAAGACTTTAGAATATCAAGTCTTATTAAAACAGTAAATATAAGAAGAAAATAAAAATAAAAAAAATAAAACGGTAAATATATGTATGTATATTTAATTTAACTGAACCACAGTACTGTGATTTCAATGTGTGCCCTAAATTTCATTTCTGATAAAAATTTAGAAAATTAAATATTATCTATACAACAGCTATCATTAATGAACATATTTGAATTACTTCTACAGGTTAGTGATTGAACACTTAATCATGTTTTCTTGATTTTGTGCTTGTTTTTTACCTTGCTGTATTCTAGCCGATATCTGCCTCAGCTGCTTACATTTTGGGTGAAATATGTCGAGATAAAAATGATGCTGTTTTGCCCCTTGTACGACTGCTGCTGCACCATGATAAACTTGTTCCTTTTGCTACTGCAGTGGCTGAATTAGACTTGAAGGATACACAGTAAGAGTTGTGTTTTATTTGGTGTTTTGTGTTGTTGAAATTGGACCTTAGTTTGCCAAATTGTCTTTGTTGTCTGAATTATTTTGTATTGACCAGCCTTACTGTATAGTAGGCTGAAAAGAACTGCTTAGCAAGTAACAAAAGGCAGTTCCTTAAGTTATCAAACAGTATCCACCATGTAAGGATAACAATTAGTGAAGGATATTTTTTTTTTTTTTTTAATCAGTGGTGAAATTTCCCTTGTTACTAATCTTTGCTTCTTAGCATAACGGTTCACATGTCACAAATAAAACACCAGGGCCGAAGTGTTTTTTTGTTTTGTTTTGTTTTTCCCTTTCCATTATGTAGCACCTTTATATGCATACATGTGACATCATAAAAAGGAATTAAGCGGCTTCTGGTTGCCATCATAGTCTAATGCTTGTTTCATACATAGATATACTCCACTTTTTTGGTTCAACTGATTTTCACATATTTTTGGTAAATAATTTTAGTTAAATATAAAAAACCTAATTGTAGCAAGCTTTTAAATAGATGGTAAAAATACTAAAATTATATAAATGACCAATGTCAAATGTCATATTGGTTTCAAGCCTTTGTTTACTACACTTGGTTTCACCTATTTCTATTTCTATTTCAGAGATGCAAACACAATTTTTAGAGGAAATTCCTTGGCTACCCGATGTCTGGATGAGATGATGAAAATAGTGGGAGGGCACTACCTGAAAGTAACATTAAAACCTATTCTGGATGAGGTACAGAATATATCTCCAGTCATGATAGCTTGTGGCCTATTATAGCATCTCTTTCATCAAATGATCTATTGATATGTCCATGATGTGAATGATATGTCCATTCATGTATTACTGAAAGTGTAAGACTGAACACTGTAGATGTAGACTTTCGGCGGACTTTTACTCAAAGAACACATTTTAGTGTAATCTTTGTTATGGGATTTCCATTTTAGCAAGAGTTTCAAATATACAGGAAATACTTTTTGATATAATTCTTTAGGAAAATTATATATATTGTACGTTTCCTCTGGATGAGGGTTTTAAACTCCATTACAGTTTTAATTTTTACAATTAACTTTTATCATCCAGAAAACAGTAGTTATTTTAATTCTGTCAAATTACTTAGGAAAGAACATTAAATAAAAACTTTATTTTCCAGATATGTGAATCCTCCAAATCCTGTGAAATTGATCCTATTAAATTGAAAGAGGGGGATAATGTGGAAAATAATAAGGTAAATCCTTGTTAGGTTTCTGTTGCATTAAAATTGGTCTTAATGGTGTACCTATCTCCCACATATGTTTTAATAATGCTCTATGGAGGAAAGCAGTGCTGTTTATTCTTTACATAAGCCTTTACTATTAGCAGCATTTCCTAGGACCAGTTTTTATACTGTTTCCTCAGTGGTTTCACTTTATTTTTATTCCACATTGTCTCTTTTTGACTCTACTAACAATAGTGGATTTAGGCTGTATCTAGTTGCAACCCCCATTCTGGCCATTCCTTTCTTTGGAGTCAACCTCCTCAGATTAAGTGGCGCAGTGGCTTGATCAATTGATACTTTTAGTTGCCTCTGGGAAAACAATGATTGTGTTAGGTTATAGTTTTCATTGCACTGGATAACAGTGACACAATATCCTTGTGCCTGCATATCCAAGTTATTTCCCTGATTTCCCTTTGGAGCATTCTATTCTCTGTTGCTTCTTGTGATATTTATTCTTACATTCACCTCTTATGTCTAGCAAGTCTGAATTTAATTTATTAAATTAAGCTGTACTTATAAATGAGAAGGAAAGCAGGGCTTTAGAAGAGTAGGTAGTGACTGTCTAATAAATCTCGTTTTCATTACATTTTTTTTTTCGTAAAGACTATTGAAGATATGTGAAAATCAGAATCTTAATGTTTTACCTTTTTAAATCCTGCAGGAGAATCTGCGCTACTATGTAGACAAGTTATTCAGTACAATTGTAAAATCAAGTATGAGCTGCCCCACCGTAATGTGTGATATCTTTTATTCTCTAAGGCAAATGGCTACTCACAGATTTCCTAGTAAGTGCCTTGTTTTACTAAAACATGCCATTTCTTTTTCTATATTTGATCCTCTGTAGATATTGTGTATTTGGTTTGTGAAATGTTTAAGGTTTACACAGGCTTTAGTTCTTCAAAATGGAACTAGCATTTTTGTATGACATCTGGTTTATTTTTCTTTTAATCTCAAAACGTATATTCCATTTTATTTTAATGCAATAGCAACCTTATACAAAGAGCAAATCAGAATCATCCTTAGTTTTAAGAAAGGCAAAAATTTAGAACTATAACATTATGTAAGTAAACATTTGTGCCAGATGCTTATGAGATTGTTAAATATAATTAAACAAAAGTATTTTTGTTATTTGTACCAACTCTTTCCCAGTTGCATTCATTCAAATGGTGAGAGTCTCTAGTTCCATACAATTGACTGTGTTTGACAGTTTGAGAATGCTAAAGTTTTGATGATGAGAAGTTTTTACAGAAATGGCTTTAAACATTAGAAAAAACATCTCTATTGCAACATACATAAAATTTTGAGGTACATATATCCGTAACTGACATGCTTTAATTTTGCAAAAGTAGCTGTGTCAAAGTTTTGCTTGGAAACATTTCATAAAATTGAGTTGCTATCTGTGACTGTCAGTACTTGGAATTATTCTAATTATAATGCATCTCTGATGAGTAAATAAACTTGCTATAGCTGTCTTTCCAGATCTGCTTATAATGCAGGATAGGAGGAGGTAAGGCAGCCACTTAAATTATCAGTCTTACCTAGCTGTGTGAAGCTATATGTTTATTTCTAAAACCATCTGAAGAAATTTTGCTATATTATCATGGTCTTTCAAGTGTGTGCCCACATGTTTGCAGTTATCTGCCCCTCTGATAAATTTACCCAGTACTAAAGTTGTGGGGCTGTGTTGTCTAACTAACATGTAGATAAATTCAGATCTAGATGTCTTTGCTAATTATAGTAAAGACACAAACAGTTAACTTTAAGTATACTAAATCTAGTCTTCATAACAAAAATAAGGAGAGCAGAGACATTAAAATATGGAAAGATGAAGTACTGATTGAAAATATTTTTTGAAATAGTGAGTTAGATTATAATAACCACTTTGACTACTTAGTGAGTGAACAGGCACAGTGTTAGCTTGCATTGTCTCCTACTCTCATCTTCACAACACCCCATGAGGTAGGTGCTACTCCCATTGGGTAAATAATGAAACAGGTTTAGAGAAGCTGAATAACTTTACCAAGGTCCATGACATGGCCATCGGGCAAGCAGTGTCTCAAGCCTGTGCATGGCCTACTCCAAAGCACGGGCTATTAATCACTGTACTCTGCACTACACAGTGATCTTGACCTCAAATCTGTGTTAGCTGTTTAATTCTTGTTTATATAAATATCTAAAACACACTTTAAGATTTTTTTTTTATAAATTCAAACGTGTCTCCTTAACTATCTTTTTGTTGGCTTAAATATTAAGATGTATTCATATCCTCAGTAGACTATAGTAGTGATCATTTTATTACCATAAAATATTTTCATATTCTCTCATTTGTTCTTATTACTTTGGGAGCACAGGGGCAGAGGGAGGCAGGCAGCAGGTGGGAAGCCAGTATTATTAAGGAACAAGAAATTAAATGACTTGTCAGTGGTTAACTATTGAATGGCTTATAAGAGTTAAAACTCAAACCAAACCCAGAGATTCTTTCCCTCACCACCTGCTTCTCTACCATCTGATTGATTGTTGGGTTAAGTCCAGACTGAAATGAAAGCTGTAGGTGAGTGATCCAAGCCACAGGTAGGCTTCAGTTCCCCTGCATTTTTCATATGGAATATTGATAGCTTTTTTAAAGTAAAAATTTCTGCCTAATCATTTTTATTGCACAGCCTTTGATATTATCAAGATTTTTAGGGGAAAATTGAAACAGTAACCTAAAGCTGAAAGCAAGCTGATATCCTAGCATTAAGGGATTCAGTGTTACCACTAGGTAGTGCTAGATACTACTTTCATTTTTGTTGTAATTTCAGGAGTCTCTTCTTGCAGATGAGGAAAGACGTATTTTCCAAATTAAAATATTTCTGAAAACCTAGTGGCTTTGCCTTTCATTTTCTTTATTATTTCTTATTTCTTTCAGGTTTTTTTAGTCACAGGGTTTTTTCTTTTAATTTAGTCATAATCATTACTATCATTTCATCAACTCAGTCCTTAGTAGTCAAATTATATTGCCCTTCTATTTAGTTTACATGTTTTCTCAGTATTTTTTACTTTATCATCTTTGTTTTCTAATTCAGTGTTTTTGTGCATGACATTTCACCATTTTTTTCCTGCAGATGACCCTCATGTTCAATATTCTGCAGTGAGCAGCTTTGTATTTCTTCGTTTCTTTGCTGTAGCCGTAGTATCACCTCATACGTTTCATTTGCGACCTCATCATCCAGTAAGTGTTTGTTCTTCTAAAAGCTTTATTCCATTTTCATTTATTTTTCTTAAAATGAAGAAAAGATAAAATAAGTCAGTTTTACTTGGCTATTTTTTTGACAGCTGATACTTAAATTTACTTTGCATTTTTCTTGGCAATTTTAGTCTTTCAGATAAGGCTGAAAATTTTATTTTGTTATTGTTAAAAGATATTACACAAAAGTAATAAAATGTTAATAATTGTTGAAGCTTGATGATGAGTACAGAAGGGATTCTACATATTTTTCCTTCTGCTGTTGTATATATAAATTTCCATAATACAAATATATTTTTTTCCTTTAGTTACAGGTTTAGTTTTGGTTGATTTATTTGTTTTAACAGAACCTGCTTTCCTGATCTATTAAAATAACTAATCTTTTAGAAATTTTAAAATCTCACAGAAATTTGAAGAGGATAATTTCTGAAAGGTGTAGGAACTTTTATTGGAACATAATTATTTAGTATCTCCATATTTTTACTTTTTATTCATCCCGGGTGATAGTGTAAATATGAGATTTAAATTTTTTTAAAGCATATAACCTTTTTGTTCTGAAGCCTATTTAATTACCTAAATTTAAATCTCCACTGCATGGATTTACATGTTTATTTCTTAATATTTTAAGCTTTTTATTATTTGTGTTATATTTGTTTCCTTCTCATACAGTGTATTTTTGCTGATTCTTAAAACTTTTATGTTCGAGATATTTTAGAATCTTATCTAATTGCTTATAATTGCTAATTTGTATAGCAAATAATAGTAGTAGCCAACATTTATTTAGTGCTTAGTTTGTACTAGTGCTTAGTATGTGCTACTGCTTGTTCTAACTGCTTTACATTTTTTAACTCATTTAGTCTTCCTAGTAACCCTATGAGATAAATACTATCTTCATACCCATTTACAGATAAGGAAATCACAACACAATAACTTCTCCAAGCTTGCACAACTAACAAATTACGATTTAACCTTACTCAATTTGAACTGGATTAAACAGAGATTAGATAGATTGGATTAAACTCAGTCAGTCTTCACAGTCTGTGAATTTAACTCTGTTCCTCTGACCTCTTAGGCAGATAGATGTTCAAGTACCTGTAATGTATCGAACACTGTGCTCAGCATTGGAGACTCAGTGAGGAGTAAGGTACTTTCTGCCCTTAGGAAACTCACTGTCATGTGGAGTTGCTAATTGAATAATATAGAGTAGGAAAGACACATGGTTTGGGAGTTAAATTGGGTTTGAATGCCCACTTATCCTCCTGAAAGCTGCCTGACATTGGCCAGTCATTTAACTTTGTGAGAATTGAGTAGAACCATGTCACAGTGGCAGCAATACACCCTTTCTTGCCAAGGGACAAATGGTCTATGAGTAGCCACAGCAAAGAGTAGGCCATTGTCCTTTTGTTCAGAGGGCTGTCCTTTCTATGGCTAGTTACCAAAGCTGTACAGAATTCTGGGGCAATGAAAGCTTGGTAGCAGTGTTCTGAGACACAACACAACTCCTACCTCTGAACTTGTGACTTGTGCCTTGTATTCAGACTTAGATTTGCATATTCTTTAAACAGATGTCTAAATAAAATCTTTCTAACCACAAATTATATTTTAGGTCACTGTTTTCCAATCAGTATGCCAGAAGAACTGCTTCAAAACTGTCATATAATTTTATTGTTTGATTTTATCTCTACTTTTATCCCTACTTTTTAAGAACCTTTCCATCTAATTGGGGAAATAGGTCAAATACATAAGATAAATAATCTAGATCTACTGTAAATCTAAAACTAGCACCTGATAAGTACCAAGTAAGGAGTATAGATAGTTCATAGCATAGAAACTGAGATCAGGGAATGATCCCAGTGACCTGGGGGTGTTGACCTTGTCAAGACCAGTATTGGAAGGTAACAGAGGAGTTGGGGAGGAGAACTTACTAGAGCTCGTTGAATTTTACATTTAGGAGTTATTGAATTTTGAGAAACCAATTTTAGTAATGTAGAAGAGAAGAAAATCAGATTGTAGGAGATTAAAGAATAAGTAGAAAAAAGGCAGTTTTGCCCAGGAAATATATCAAAAGCGAGCTTGCTCCGCTGCTGAGAGGCATGGGTAAATTCAAGCATCACGTGTGCACACACATACATGAATGAATATTTTTTTTAAATGCTAATTTTAAAATACTTGTTATGCTAATATTGATATGATATTCCACTCTTTTGAGTAGGTTTTTTTTTTAAATTTTATTTTGTCGATATACAATGTGGTTGATTATTGTGTCCCATTACCAAAACCTCCCTCCCTCCTCCCTCTCCCCCCTCCCACCCACTAATGTCCTTTCTGTTTGCTTGTTGTGTCAACTTCAAGTGAGTAGTTTTTATTTTTTTAACTTTTTATTTTGCTATAGTTTTAAGCTTACAGAAAAGTTGCAATGGTAGTACAAAGAACTCTCAAGTAATGTTTACTCTATTTCACAAATTGCCTGTGATTTTGCCTGTTTGCTCCAGCGTTCTGTTTGTCTCTGTCTCTGTTTCCTTCTCTTTATGTGGGTGTTTTTTTCTGAACCATTTGAGAGTAAGTTGTAGACATTACCTCTTTTACAATGAAATAGGTCGTTGTATGTTGCCTAGGAACAAAGACTTTCTCTTTTATATCCACAGTACAATGATCAAAATCAAGACGTTTAACATTGATACCTCTTTTAAGAAGTTTTATAGTGTGAAAAAAAGTATTGGACCATCCTTCTCATTATATCTCCCATTCTCTCATTGGTAGCCCTCCCATGACCCGGACATGACCCTACTGTAACTCTGGTTTATGTGCCTCTTTTATGTGTGCCTGTAGTATCCTGTAGCCCTTTCTGTCATGGCATTTATCATACTATTTTATAATTATCGGTTTATAATCTCTGCATGTGGACTGTCAATACCTTAAGAGCAAAGCTGGGTCTTTTTCAGGTTTGTATATCCCAAGCTCATGGCAGTTTCTATGACAAGTAGATGCTCAGTAAGTGTTTGATAAATGAAAGATGGTAGCTTAGAGAAGGAGTTTGTCAAATGATGAATCTTCCTAAATGGGAAAACCTAGTATGGCAGAGGGGAAGAGGGAGAAATTAAAGAGAAAAGGGAGTTACTAATGCCAGATCAATATCCTAGAGGTTCAGAAAGAGTGTCTTTAAAGGAAAAAGTAATGGGGTTAACCTTGGAAAAAAGAACAACTGCTCCTTTGAATTATTATGGTGAACCATATGAAATTGTTATCTTTTTAATAGATCAAAAATAGTCAAATAATGGCAATTTCATATGATTCAACCTAATATAAGGGATAAAAAGCTAGGATATGTGAATGTACACCAGGTTATTTTGAAGTGAGAAATTCAACATTTCAGTTGAATTTAATAAATGTTATATAGCATCTACTAAGTGCCAGTGCCAGGCTGAGTACTAGGTGCCAGATGACTAAGGTCCTGGTCATCCATGAAAGGTCACTATAAAAAAATTCTGGTGGAAAGGGAAAATTTTAGTACAGCTTATATAGAGAGTACATCAGGGAATCAACAGTAGCTGAATGACATGATTGTCAAATAGCAGTGAGGGTCATGTTCATGTAAACAAACCTCTGATGTGCAGAAATTATATAAAATGTGCCTTGTTCTAGGGGCCGGCCCGGTGGCGCACTGCTACAGTGCGCCACTTGGGAAGCGCGGTGGCGCTCCCACCTAGGGTTCGGATCCCACATACAGACTGGCCGCTCACTGGATGAGCCAGGTGCGGGAGCAACACTGAGGGTTGCGATCCGTTGCCGGGCACGAAAAAAGACAAAAAAAAAAAAAAAAAAAAGGAAAATGTGCCTTGTTCCCTTTTGTTAGCTAAGGGAAGTAATGACTTAAACTGCTGAATTTAAAACCACATTTGAATGGGGAGGTCTTGGTGGAATTTGCTTCATATTCAGTTTATCAGCACATCTTTAGGAATTTTAATCTCTTAAAGTCAGAGAATTACAGGGACCTTTTATGGATATAATGGAATCCTGGATTTTAGCTAAAATATTTTCTGAATAACATTAATTTAGACATATACTTTTTCATAAGTATATCATAATGATCATGTTTCAGATATTCCTTCTTTTCCAGATTGCCTTACATTCTGGTGGTCTCTTCCCCTTCATATTCACTGCCTGTTTTCAGTGTTGGGGGTACTAAAATGTTAAAGAATGTGAGCCAAAAACTAAACTAGAGCTTTTCTGTATCTAAATTTTCCTGAGTATGTCTTTCGTTGGAAGATACTTGAATCCCTAAAACAAAAACAGCCTATGTCCTATTAGGGGAGTTGGTTACGTAGATGTATGGATTGGTAAAAATTCAGCAGGCTATACATTTAAGACCTGTTCATTTCACTATATGTAAATTACACCTCAATTGAAAAAAGGAGAGAGAGCAAGGACTCATGAGGGAATACTGTTTAGTCAATTTTATTTAAATTTACTTCTTACAGGTAGACAGGCCTAAAAAACACCTTGGATAATAGATCTATATAGTTACCCTTTGGTAAGATCTTGTATGAAGTGGGTGACTTCCATGGTGAAAAAAGTTGATTGCAGAAGCCATATAAATTATTGAATATGCCTAGAGGTGGTTGAGCACAGGAAATCTGGAAGCTGCCCTTTTAAGTTATAAGGTAGAAAAAAGTGGATGCCTTTGACATTCCAAAAGTGAATATAATTTGTCAAGTAATCCAAGGTGCCATACTATACAAAACAACTTACATATAATCTTGATTAAATTATGGCTTTCAAAAGTAACACATTATTAAATATAATTACTTTGGGAGAAATTGTCAATTACATGCGGCTCCTTTAGTCTCTTAATTAGCCCAGCCTCAGCTGGATTTTAACTATGTTCATAGTCTGAATGAACATTTTTGAGTCACTGTTTAAAGCAAGGCAGCCCATTTACTCTGCTCTACTTGTTATATGAATTCTATTTCTTGAAAACTTAACTAGAGTTTTGGTCTTTTTACATTCTTTAGGATGCACAGACAATTAGAACATTAACTCTCATCTCAAAAACCATTCAAACCTTGGGAAGCTGGGGGAGTCTGTCCAAAAGCAAGGTAAGTGTTTACATCTTTTAGTTTGTTTTCACACTTCTAAATGTTGTTAAACCTATGATCCTTTTTCCTTCAGTTACCTCCTTCCAAATTAAAAATAAAACCAAAAATAAATAAATATATACACACACACACACACACACACACACACACACGGAATAGCTGTCTTTTAGGTAGAGGTTGAGTCTCAGTCACCTGTTAAAGAGGACAGTTTCATTTAAACTGATTTATGTAAGAGGAGGAGAGAGTCTAGTAAGAAGATGCAGAAGTGATCTATTTATCTGTTTATCTATGCCATAATCATCTAATGGCTTTGAAAGAAGTCTTCAGTTGCAATCCCTATAACTCTCTGGAAATATATTATTGAATCTTTTTAGGCCTTAATCCTTAGCTTAAAAATACAGTCTATTATATTCTTAGTTCTCTGTTTAACATATATAAACCTTGTGTTTGTTTTTTCTTAGTCAAGTTTCAAAGAGACATTCATGTGTGAATTTTTCAAAATGTTTCAAGAAGAAGGATATATTACAGCAGTTAAAAAGGTATGATTATTTTATTCTGGAAGTACATTTCTTGTCATATAGAATGGGGAAATAACATTTCATATTATTCCTAGAAATTAATGCCCAGTTAAAAAAAATAATAATGTTTAAAAAACCATCAAAAAGGCTCTCCTTTTTTATTCCTTTCTGCTATCATACAAAGATAAGGGTTTTTCAGCCGTGAAAATACCTAAACAACTTTTAGCAACAGATACTATTGCCCCAGTGTCTTAGTAACACAAATGACAAATATCTAGGATTAGGGTTTCTCAACAATGACACTATTGACATTCTGGGCTGAATATTTCTTGATTTTGAGGGGCTGGCCTGTGCATTATAGGATGTTTGGCAACATCCCTTGCCTTTAGGTGCCAGTAGTATGTCCCCAGTTTTGACAACCAAAAAATGCCTCTAGACATTGCCAAATGTCCCTTAAGGGACAAAATTGCCTCAGGTTGAGAACCCGTGGTCTAGGGGTAAAGGCTTAATATGGTGCCCGATGTATCATGGGTACTTAATTGCCATAGTAAAAAATATATGAATTTTTGAACCTTTGAGGAGCAATATAGATTTGTGGCAGTAACCTAAGGAAAGTTACTATAAATTAAAATGAACAAAAGCCTACAGTAGATAATATCCTAACAGGAGGCCTATGGACTTACAAAAATTACTGTATTTACTGAGTTGAGAATGTTTCAAAAGGATCTTTAATTTCTTGAGTCTTTAGTCCTGAATCATTTAAACAAAATGTAGCATTATCCTAAATCCCTGAAAACTTATAAAGAAAAGTTGTTTTGAAGTATATCTAAATTAGGCTTGATGAAAGTACTTTATCTTATTCATCACTGTCCTAATTCAGTGAATCCAAATTAGCAAGGCCAAATTTTTTTTCTTTTTTTGTTTTTCCTGGCTAGTACAGGAATCAAACCCCAGACCTAGTGTTATCAGCACCACACTCTAATCAGCTGAGCTAACCACCTAGCACAGGCCAGATTTTAAAGACTTCACTCAATTTCTGTAGCATGATGAGCAGTTGATTGCCATGAGTGTATTTTATTGAAGTATATGTTTGGACTTCTTTTTAATACACTTTTAAGATTCTTACAGAGACTCAGTAAATGAAAATGATGATTTGAAAAATTAAAGTCAGTTGGAATTTTTTCCATCTAAAGTGCAAGTTCAACTGAAATTTTTTTAAGCAACCATTGAAGGCTTTTAATGAGAAAGTCAAAAGAATAGGCAAAGAAAAAGCTGCCCTTTTATTTTTAAGACATTGTTGAAACATTTGTGGGACAGTGTAGGCAGACTTTTGCTGGCAAGATTATGAAGTATTGTCTTTTGTTTTGGGATTGTTTTTTCATGTTTTCGACGTAGGCTATGGTAGCATCTGATTTTTTCCCCCTGATATAATCAGAATTTGTAGAGTTGATAATGTCAGTAGAGAAAGGATTTAAGAGTGCTAGGAGTTTAGCCTGTTTCTGATCTGCCCTGATCACCCGCTCACATCCTAATAGATTATACCACCCTATTATGCCCCCTGTTTCAGAATTGGTTCTAGGCTCCTAAGCTGGCATATTTTTGCCTAATATCCTAGTTTTCTTTCTTATTTACAGCAGTTCCCCTTTATCCACAGTTTCATGTTCCGTGGTTTCAGTTGCCCAAGGTTCTGTACAATAAGATATTTTGAGAGAGACACAGAGAGAGACCATATTCACATAACTTTTGTTACAGTATATTGTTGTAATTGTTTTATTTTATTATTAGTTATTGTTAATCTCTTACTGTGCTTAATTTATAAATTAAACTTTATCACAGGTATGTATGTATAGGAAAAAACATAGTATACATAGAGTTTGGTAATATCCAAGGTTTTAGGCATCCACTGGGGGTCCTAGAGCATATTCCCTGCGGTTTAGGGGGGACTGCTATACCAGTTAAGTCTGGATATGTGTAGTGCTAGAAATTGCAAAAGTTTATGAAACCCAGTTTCTCATTTCATATTGGCAGTCTCATTACTGACATTGACCACTGCTCCAGGAGAAAATCGATTATAACTCTGAATCGTGTACTATTTCCCACAGAGTTTAGGAAGGGTAGCCTTCCTAAAGGCTATAGTTTTATAGTTTTATAAACAGAGTGACCATATAATTTGGTATCTACACCAGGACACTTTTAAGAGTGAAAAGGAATATTGTTAATGATTATTCTGGGACAATAGGTATGGTCCTAACAGGGATGGTCCTCAGTAAACTGGGACCTATAGACACCCTGCCTAAAGTCCATCTTAATATCTGTTTTCTTTCACTTTGTTCATCTGTATTTACCTCACAGTTTCTTATAATTATAATAAATAAATAATAAATATTTGCTAAATAAATCAGTGACTTCAGAGAAATACAAAGAAATGAAATATTCAGATAACTCTGTCATGCTGCATTAGTAGATAGCCCATCTGTGAGAACTGAAGATGTGATTGGGCACTTCTTTAGTTGCCATGGGCTCTTGTACCTGCATCACCTACATGAAATGCAAGAGGAACTCTGTTCTTACTTTTTTGCTTATGAAGATTTCCTTCCAGCATACTAGAAGTGAACATTACATTGGAAAACCCCACAAGTGTGGGCTCTAGTGGGCAGTCTACAGCCAGTCTTTGGGAGAAAATAACTGTGCCTACAAATTCGACTTTAAATTAGGCACTGGAGCCTCAGTGTCATCCTTAATGAAATGTACATTGTTTTTAAGTTCTAAGCAGGACAACATAGAAGAGTATGAAGGAAAAAGCAAGGAAATTCAGACCTTCCCTGAGTTTATAATATCCAGCTAATGAACTAAACAAATAAATAGTTCATTTAGGGGACAAAATGGGATTCCTCTCTAAAAACAAAAATTGTTCCTTGAACTGCTAATTTCCCTTTCCCGTGAAGAGACAGCCACTTGCTGGGAAGTCCTTGACCAGTTAAAGCAGCATATTCATGAAACTAAATGCTCTTCACTGGGTGACTTGCATTGCTACACATGGATACTCCAAATTTTCTTGAGCCACCACATTCCCACATTCTCCATAGGAAGTTTGTTAATTATTCATAACTATAAAACACCATCTCTCAGGTCTAAAGTCAGTTCTATATAATAGAAGTTGGTAAACTCTTTTCTGGGAAGGGCCAGTGAGAAAATACTTTAGGCTTTGCTGGTCATATAATGACCCTGCCACATATTCTTTGTTTTTACTTTTACAACCCTTTAAAAATGTAACAAGTATTAACTCCAGGGCCTTATAAAAACAGGCTGCAGGTAAGTAATTTGGTAATCTCTGGCCTGTAATAAAGGTTCTCAATCCTATATGTAAAATCTTTGGGACCAGAATATTTCAGAATTCAGTTTTACAGTTTCAAAAGGTAATCAGAATGTACTATACGTTAACACCCCCTAATGGAGCCTAGAGTAGCACCTCGTAATCAAACACATTAATATTTATGTAGCACAACGTATGAGTACTCCCAGTAAGTAGGATAAATACAGACTGTAACTAGCCTTATGCCAGTTCACCAAATGAGTTTACTGCAAATTGAAGAGAAAGCAAAAAAAACCTCTTTTTATTCAGACCTTTATGGATTTCAGAATTACAGTTAAGGGATTGTGTATTGAGTTATTTCTACAGAGAAATATATTCTGGGTTTTAAGTAATTTAAAAATAAACTTTTCAGGGCTAACAGGTTAGCTCACTTGGTTAGAGTGTGGTGCTGATAACACTAAGGTCAATCCCTATTCCAGCCAGCTGGCAAAAAAATTAATTAAATTAAAAAATAAATAAACCTTTTAGAATACCTCTCATTTCTAAATTAGGGACTTCCTCTACAATTAAATATGTGTTTTGTTTTATAAGTTACTATTATGTATCTTCCTTAATAATGAAGAACTTCACAATATAATCAATGACATGTAAGATAAACTGAATTTTTTATGACATACCTTATCACACAGTGTAATATTTGCTCATTTCCCATTTAGTTCTTGGATGAAATTTCATCTACTGAAACTAAAGAGTCCAGTGGTACAAGTGAGCCTGTGCACCTGAAAGAAGGGTAATTTAATGAAATTAAACATGAAAATCATGTTTCAGTATAGACATTAAGTAAGTAGAAAGAGCATGGGTCTGGGAGTGAGGAAATCTGGGTTTTTGTTCCATGCTAGAACTGCCAAAGTCACATCAATCAGGTAAGTCACCTGCACTATCCTACACACTTTATGTCAGAGGAGCATGACTTCCTGTTCATATGGTCACAGTGTTGTTTTACAATTGTAGTGATATTATGGGTAGTAGAGTACTTTGAAAAAGTAACAGCAAGATTTAGTCTTAGAGTAGAGTGGTTATTACCGGAAGTTAAGGAGGGAAATCACTCATTTGGCTCTTTTGTGTTCTGTATAGCACAATTAAAAATATTAAATTAATTAAAGACTCTCTTCCCTTAGTATGGCCAAAATAAATGCAAGAGTTATAGATGGCAAAGACATTTTCATATGCTTAATGTAATGTTACACATCTATTCGTGTCATTTAAAATTAAAGGACAATTCTTTGTTTTAAATTAACTACCTAAATGTTTACATCTGTTGTTTTGACAGTGAGATGTATAAAAGAGCTCAGGGAAGAACTCGAATTGGAAAAAAGAATTTCAAGAAACGGTGGTTCTGCCTAACAAGCAGAGAGCTTACCTACCATAAGCAGCCAGGTAGTTGTGTTTATGCTTTATTGTGGGTTTTTTCCTAGTTCATGGCGAATACTTCTTTTTTGCTTCTTAATGTGACTCTAATGAATCCTTTCACTAATATTACTATAGTTTATAGTTTCTCACAGTGATGCATACATGCTAAGAATGAAATAAATATTTGACAAGCGACACCATGTAAATTATAGATTACATTTTTCTCACACATTAATTTCTTGTGTTGCTAAAGATGGTATACCTTCAGTCTGCTCTGTTTTCTAAAAATCCTTGGAAAATCTCTGCTATTACAGTCAATATATAAGGAGTAACAGTTAAACTCATTAGAACTTGGAAGTTTATCTAACTCTCAGAGCCAAGTGAGTAAGATTCAGTGCCTAATAAAAGAAATTTCTGTGGTTAGCTGGAGAGTATCAGCCAAAAATTCACACAGTCATACTATAGATTGTGGTTCCTATACATTTGTCAAATTCATTCTTGGCTGATGGCCAAACTAAACCCAGGATGGAAAATTTAATAATTTGCCTCCTGAGAAGACACTTTTGTCTTCACAAGTGGTCTGTTTGGGTAAAGAAAACCATCTCTCTTGAGACTGCAGAGAAGCAAAGTTGGTCCCTCAGTGGACTGACAAGATGCTTAAAATTCTCCTCCTTTTAAGTTTATACCTTTGGGGTAAAGCATTAACTATAGAAAGCCATTAACTTCTGATATCTTAGCAAGAATTTAGTATCTTGATCATAGATCACGTACAGTAGGATCCATATCATCCAAAATGATCAGAATGTAAGGATATTTACTCAACCAAAACTGTCGGTTAATGCAAGAATTATCTAAAAGTAAAAAGATACTTACATATCTTAAATATTTATATATTTGTTTACCAGTCTTTTATAAGAGAACCAAGATCTTTTCTTTGAATATGGAGCTATAGATCAGATTTCCTCTTTGTCTTTCTTATGTAAATGCACCCACAATACATCAGTTTTCAGGTTGATTTCTCCAGAATGAATCTAGAACTTAGATACTTGAAAAGTAATTCAAGTACAAAATCCTTTCAGATTTTCAGGATAATCATCCTAATCTTTTACAGCTGTCTCACCTCCATATAAATTCAATTCTGTGTGGGTATGGGTCTCTTCTATTGAAGCTTTTCAAACTGTTTGCTTGAATTCAAATAAATAATAAACCTTTTAGTAGGGGGCACTTATTTTGTCACTTCACATAAAATTGAAGTAAATTTTAATTACAACATGGAAAACTGGCATAAATATATTTGGGAACAAACCAAACAGACTTGATAAGCAAAACAGCCTAACCAATGGAAGCAGAACGGTGCAGGTCTGATGGAGAGTAGCCTATCAACAAGAAGCATCCCATAAACATCATTCAGTATGTTTTACAGAGTAAATGGAGAGTCTCAGGTAATCCATCAAGTCTATTAGGTAAGGATCTGTTAAGAGAGCTTCTGCTGTAAAGTCGGGAATAATAACCCAAACATCAGACATAGGGTACTTTCAAGAGAGTGTAGACACAGGTAAGTAGAATGCTTCAGTGGAAATTCTTGAATAGTAGAGTGATAAGAAACATTTTTTGTTTCATGATTCTTCCTTAGGAATGGCTTAGCCAGAATGACCACATATGTCCAAATATACTAGTAAGACTTAAGACATACCTAATGTATTTGGCACACATATAATTTGATATAGCATGTAAATATTCAAATAACTTAAGATCAGTAGGCTATGTACTTGCCCTTCCAGACAGCATTTTTTTAAGTTAAGCATATTTTGAATGTTTTAGAAATTATAGCTTATATTGAATACTATATAAACATTCTCACGTATGTATAGCATAGGTGCTAATTATGTTTACATTAATAATACATTTAAATAAAAGTTAAGGTAAGTTAGTCATTCACTATGAACAAGTGAGTTATTTTTTTCCTCAAAACATTTTCTAAACTGAACCAATATTCTAAAGTCTTTCTGGTTTATAATCTCCTTTAAGAATTAGTTGTAGCTGTGAACCCTTTCCTCTGGAAAACCGCACATACAAAAATAGACATCAAATTTTGCATATAATTTCAGGGAGTTCGTGGACCCAAAGTTCATCCACAGTCCTGAAGTTTTAAGAACTTCTGTTCTATCCAATTATTTTAAGAGGATTAAATTCTGTAGAGTGATTAGGGTACTGTAGGTATAAAGTAAACACATTAAAAGCTACATTGTTTTCAGACCGTAAGAAATTTAACATGTTGGAATGACATTGGAGGAATGAGACATATGAGGTTTTGAGGTTATTTACAAAAGCCTGTAGTTTTAAGCATCTGTGCTTTTTGTCTTAACTGTTTTGATGAATTTTTCCAAAATGTATTACATGCTTCCCTGCCTTCTAAAAAAGAGTTCATTGAACGTAAGTTAACATTTTCTAGATGACTTGGGGCTATCATTGATACTATTAATTACTATATGGTACTTCGATTTAGTGATGTTTTCAGGGTTGCTTAAAGGTGCGTGCAGCTGTTTACTCCAGCTTAAATGCTTTTACTGTGCAGCTAACTGTCTTGGACTGCTGTGCTTTTTGTGTTCCTGTGTTTATTAACATTACGCATAAGGACTTTGACCTATAAATAAAGTACATGGGCTTTGCATTCTCTGTGTGGTTGCTTAGCAAATGTTTTGCTTACTTCCTGTTTCCTTGCTGTTTTCTAGGTAGACTACTAGTTAAGTGGTCTCTTCCTTACACTTTCTATGTGACTTTGGTGTCTGGAAGAGTGCCTCCCATATTTTCTGTAGCGTAACTATAAATCATTAAGTGTTTCGTTCTATCCTCCTGTTAGACAATAATATTCTTTTGGGGGGGGGGCAAATTTGTTTTTATTTTTCTGAAAATATGAAGAACTATGAAAAACAAGTTGAATGTTGAATATTTGGCTGTACCAAAAGCAAAGTATAAGTAAAAATAACATTTGAAAATCATGTTTAAAAAAGAAAATCATGTTTAACCTTTGAGAAACATGTTTTAAAATATCAAGTTTAACAATTTTTCCTCTGTAACAGATAATACTGTTCTGAATCAAGTATTTTTACCATTTAGAATCAAATAATGTGGTATTTTCCTAATGTACTGGAAAATTAATTAATAGAATTTTCTCAACTTTAAGGATTTTTCTTCAATAAGTTGTTAAATTTTTGATGCCCACTCAGGTAATTACTAACAAGCATAGTAAGCAACTAATCTTCAATTAAATTAACATGTGGCAAATGAATATTATCAGACACTCAACCAGCTATCAATCATCATTATGTTAACAGTTTTTAATAGACCTGTGTTGCTTGTGATTATGATTTTATATTGCAATGCTGTAATGTAGTCATCTTCTACAAGTAAAAGCTCTCTTGTTGTATGCTGGAATTAAATGAGTTATTGATGTTCCAGCCTCTTTGTGTCTCATTCAACCTCATTTTTTGCACTCCCCATTTCTGGCTTTACCAAACTAGTTTTTGTAGTTCCTTAAACTTGTGGTCTTTTACATTCATGCTTTTGCATATACTCTACTTAGGAATAGCTTTCTTTCCTCCTTCACCTGTGTAATCTGTTGTCCATGAAGCCTCGGATCAAGTGTCAGCTCTTTATGGAGGTCATTTTAACCCTTGGGCCACCCTTTACTGTGTTTCTTTAGCCACCTTAGCAATAACATCTGGCACACTGGGTGGTCATTACTTTTGTCCATCTTTTCCCCTAGTCTTTAAGATTCTCACTGATAAGGACCATATTATTACTAGTGGCATTAAGACATTTAGTAAATATTTTTCAAAGAACACCATGTCTTCTGGACATGGTATGATCTGAATTACTTTAAGAATCACTGCTCTATGTTTCTAAAATTTCCACTAAGCATGCTAATAATAGATTATTAACAAATTCATCTTTGAAATTACATTCTGTAGAATTTGATTGGATATTGTCTGCTTTGGGGAGACCTCTTATACACAGATACATACACACGACTTATACAACTTCCATATGATATCAGATATCCTAGCTCATATAGCCTGTGGGCAATGTAAAGAAAATTCCTTGATGTTTTAAACATACATTTAGATTGACTTCGTTCACCTCATATTTTCACACACAGGGCTTTGCAGAGTTCCCCCTCCCTTTGATAGCTAAAGAAAATACATCATTGATTCATTATGCATTCATTCAACAGATGTTTGAGTGCCTACTATGTGCCAGACATCGTCTAGGCTCTGGAGAGAATAGTAGTGAACAAAACATACCAAAATTCCTGCCCTTATGCATCTGATAGTTTAGTAGTAACAGATAATAAACAGAAAAGAAAATTATACAGTATTTTGGATGATTATAAATGAGATGAACAAAAAACAAGCAGGGAATGGGATATAAAATGATGGGCTCAGTGAAGGGAGTTACAGTATTAAAAAGTCTAGCCAAGGAAGGCTTTACTGAGAAAGTGACAGTTGAGCATAGACCTAAAAATGGTGAGGGATTGAGCCAGGTGGGTATTGGGATAAGAGAGTTGCAAAAATAGCTAAAAGCAGCCAGAACAAAGGTCCGTAAATAGAAGCATTCCTGGAATGTCTAAGAGACAAGAGAAAACTCTTGTGGCTAGAAAAAATGAGGAAGGGGGTGAATCACAGGAACTAAGGTTAAAAAAAAAAGTCATAGAGGAGCTAGATCTTATAGGACCTTGTGGGCCATTGTAAGGCTTTTCCTTTGAATAAGATGAAAAGGCCAATGCGAGGTTTAAGCAGAGGAATAACGTCATTTGACTTATGTTTTAATAGGATCACTCATGACACATGGAGTGTTTTGTGTAGAATAGAATGAAGGAGGCAAGGGGACCAGTTAAGAAACTATTGCAGTAATTCAGGGGAGAGAAGATAATGGCTTGGACTAGTTGGTAGCAGTGGAAGTGGCAAAAATGGATCATATTCTGAATCTGTTTTAAAGATACTGCTAAGAGGATTTGCTAGAGTATT